TGTATCAAAGGATAATGGAAAATCTTATAATTTGTATGATTATATTTATTTATATTAAAAAGTCATTGCCTGAATATATAATTTTTATTTGATTTTTTTTATACTAATTTTGTTAGGTGTCATTTTTGGTCAAACTTTGAAATCGCTGATTTGAATTTGTGGAGGAGTGAGGCATATTTGAAATACTTTGATTTTCTTGATAAAAAAGGCGGATTTTTCTACGAACGGTTAGTTTAAAAATAAAATTATAGTAACTTTTGGAGAATAATATTTATAATATTTTATGATATTTATTATAGGTGGGGAGATGCACCCGTTCATTCAATAGCTGCAGTACTCTTCTTAAAGAAACACCAAGTGCATTTTTTCAAAGAAATTGGATATAAACATGAACCTTTCACCCATTGTCCTAGCGAAGAAGAATTGCAATTAAAATGTCATTGCGATCCTTCCAATAATTTTGGTAAGTTATGATAAAATTGTCGATAGCTTATTGATCTAAATCAATCTAATAATCATTTTTTACTACATGGATTTTACAGATTTTGAAGGATACAGTTGTACTGGAAGGTGAGTATTTTACATAGTGATTTATTGGTTTAAATTCTATAGTTTTTGTTCCCTATTAACGTCATTTAATATAATTTTTAACAGGTTTCTTGAATTAGTAACAGAATGGAATTCACAAAAACTTCTGGATAATACTGTAAATAATTAAAAAAAAAAATCCTTTCATCAAACATTAGCTATGACGAATAATCCCACTTATGGTTGAATCATGCTAATGGAAATTGTGTATCGGTAATAATTTCAAACAATAGTTATGACAAATAATTCACTTAGTGTATAGGGTCATGCTATAAAAATAGGTTTAATAATTTCATTAAATATTATAACAAATAATCACTTATATAGTTTAGAGTCATACTTATAAAAAGTGTTAATAATTTCGTCAAACATTAGTTATAACAAATAATCCATTTATGGTTTAGAGTTATACTAATAAAAAATAGTGTAATTAGTTATGAAAAATAATTTGTTATAATACATACAATTTGCATTATTAAAATCTTTTAATAACTTTTATTTAAGTCAAATTAAAAAATAAAAAATCTCATGCAATTAATATAAGTTAGAATTATATAAATAGTGAGCACAATAAAGCATTTTAAAAATTTAAATACAGTATTACATTTTAGTTTTGTTTCTATATAACTTTTTTGATGTTCAAATGGTCATCCAATATATATTCACATTATTATTCTAAGATTAGGCTGAGTCTGCTAATTTTTTCATAGTTTGAATTATTTCTTCAGGTGAAGAAACATGCCAACCTGCTAATGTCTTTTTAGTTGGAGGTCCAATGGTAGTTGTGAAACACTCTAAATCATTAAAGTCAGGTGTTCTTTTCAGTACTCTGAACATATCTTCATCTGTTCTGTCATCACCCGCACAGAATACGAAATCTACATCCTGCATGCCTGTCAACAAACGTTTCACAATTTCGCCCTTAAATCCAACATTATATTAATCGAAGTTTTTATTTGACAACAGAAAATGAATAAATGTATTCACTAACCTTATTAATTAAAGTTGGACGGACTTCAAGATTTTTCTTTCCCAACAAAATTTCTACCGGTAATTTCGGTAGAATTGCACTTTCCAAATGATTTTGACATTCTTTAGCTTGGAATGCACTAATTAAGATCAATTAAAACATTTTAATCAGTAATTATACTAATTTAATTTATATAAACTAGTGATATAAAATTACCCATATTCAGGCAATGACTTTTTAATATAAATAAATATAATCATACAAATTATAAGATTTTCCATTATCCTTTGATACA